AACCACTGTTCAATCCAGAGGAGAGCAGCGTTGTCAAAAGCTATGTCAATTTTTAAAAACCTGAAATCATTCAAAACTATTTGTATTTGCTTATATATTATAAAATACAATTGGCTGACCTTGAACAACATAGCCCTAGCTGGCCTCAAACCTGGGGCCACCCTTCTGCCAAAGCCTCCTGAGCACTGGGATTACAGGTGTGAGCCACCACGCCCAGCAGTTAAACAAAATCTTATGCATAAATATCGTATTTAGGAAATCATTACTTTAGAATAAAAAAATGAAAACCATTTGTAAGAATAATTCACCAAAATCAAAGGAGCTTTTCTACTACTTTAAACAGACTATTGTTAATTTGTATCATTATACATATTACTTAACTGGATTTTACCAGCTAACCTAATGAACTGTCTTTTCAGAGCACGTAATTCAATGTTTATCTTTCAAAAGCTAAAACTGCACTTGTTTAATCTAGCCAAAGTTACTAGCTTTTCCATTAACAAGCTGTAATTAATTTTTAATGTTTTTTGTTTTTACTATTAGAAAAGACAGAAATGACTTGCAAAAAGTTAAAATAGTTGTTAATATAAATAAAAACCCAGGCTGGCCTCAGATTCCCAGGCTCAAGAAATCCTCCTGCCTTAGCCTCACAGCAGGATCTATCACACCTGCCTTAAACTTTTGCTTTATGCTCTTTAAAAAAGTAAAGAATCTCTACATGTAGTTTGTCAAAGAAAGTTCCATTTGCTGGGGTAAATTTTTACTGAAGCTTATGTAATCATTCAGAAATTTCTCTAAACAGAGATATTTTAAATTCTCTTCTGGAACTTTGTTCAAAATACAGATGTTCCCAAAGCAAAAGGGATTAAATTAACTGACATCAGAACACATAATTTTCCATTTTGCATTTGAGATGGTCTTTTATTAAAATTTATAAGGGAAATATATGTCAACATAGCTATTAAATTCTGAAAACAGTAAAAACTTTATTGTTAAAATACATTCAACATTTTAGGGTTAAAGTTCCTTCATAAACAGGGCACAGCAGCACATGCCTGCAACCCCAGCTACTCAGAAGAATCTCAAGTTCAAAGCCGGCCTGGGAAACCAACCTGTCTCAAAATATAAATAAAAGAAAAAGGAGTGGGATGCAGCTTGCAATAGAACACTTTGCCTAGCACAATCCCCATTACTACAAAAAAGGGGTTTGATTTTGGAAGAGAGTAAAAAATAACACTGTAGAATGGGATGGAAAATAAGCTCAGGCTTACCTTAGAATCAGAGTTACAGTGCTCCAAAGCACTGCACATCATATCTCAAAACAAATCTGTCCACACTGGTTTCTAGAAAACCTTACCAACTATTAGTAACCCTTACAGGTAATTGTGCCTATGATTAAATCAAAATCATACTATGGCAAATGTAAGTTTTCTTTATGTCTTCTGATAGGTTCAGGACACTCTACTCCAAATATAGCACCTTGAAATTTCAGCAAACATCAGAAAGAGGAAGGTGTCTCAGATCTTCTTTCCTCAAGCAGGCCATAAAAAAATTCTATGACCTTCCTCTGAAATAGAAGGTAAGACTTTCATTCCAGAGGTGCCCTTCCTACTCCCAGGGGAAGGGAACAGCACCATCCTCTGAGACACAGGCATCAAGAAGTATCTGAACAAACAGGATTGCTAAATGCCTTTCACTTTATTAACATTAGATCACACCCTCTGTCTAATCATACTTTTGAATGACAGCATAAAAATACAGATTTCTCTGAGTTTTTTTTCCACTCTTCATTTCTAAAAGCTCTCTGCCAGGTGAAACTTTGAATTTGTAGATTTTTCTCTTATTATTATTATTTTTTCAGGATAGGGATTTCAGCTGAGGAAAGGGTTTCACTTAGTGAAGGGTGAGAAAAAAACTTTTTCTTAACATGGCAAGAGATCAAGGGGTGTATACAGCACAGACAGAAAATTAGAATATATATACAGTGATGTTTAAGGTTTATATATCAAGGACATGTGATTTCACCCCTAAAAGGGTAAGAGAATACTGAGTCCATGCAGTACTCTGTGTAGACTTCATAATACTTTTGCTATGACTTACAGCAGTAATCATCACATTTTTGAGAACTGGACCAGGTGGCACATGCCTATAATCTATCTCAGCACCATGGAGGCTGAAGCAGGAAGATCTCAAGTTCCAGGCCAACCTGGGTTATACAGTAAGTTTAAGGTTGGCTTTAATTACATACAGAGACCAGGTCTCAAAAAAACATTTTTTTTTCCTTTGAGCATCTCCTAAAGTACTTGTTAAAATCTATGTACTTCTTCCATAATCTTCTAGCTAACTGAAGTTTTTCTAACCTAGTTTGAAATGATTATATATTGTCACAATGAAAATATTGGTAATTTATGGAAAATAATTATTTTTTAATGTATCCAGTGGAATCTAAACACCATAACAACAAAAGCAGATAATCCACCATTATCTGCTTTAAAATATAAGCAATAAATCTTAATACTCGAAGATTTTACATCATTTTCTTTTTTCCCTTGAACTTGAATTTTCTTTCCATTCTTATCCTAGAACAGTGGTTCTCAGCAGAAGTGGAAGGGTAGAGCCCCTGGAGGTGAATGCAGGCAACGTTTGGAAACATTTTTAATGGTTACACGTGAAGGAGGGATGCTGGAACATCTGCAGGTACCAGAGACGCTGCTAAACACCCTCAGTAGCTCAAACAGCCCTCAACAACAAAGAATGATCTGATTCAAAAGTCAGTGTTCTGAGACTGCGAAGTCACCTCTTAAAGTGATACATTTATTTGTAAATAAGGAGGGGAAGGGGGTTCAAGGGAGAGGAGGGGAATTGTGAAAGGAAAGAGGAATCAAGATATACCATGTACAGGTAAAATTCCCTATGATGAATGTAATCATTATGCATATCTAAATTGTACCAATAAATGTAATAAAAATATTAAAGGAAAAAAATGATATATTTTTATACCTGAAAGTCTTCTACTCATCACCTTATATTTCTCTAAAATAAAAATATTTATATAATTGACAAAAATACAGATTTTCTATATCATAAAGGCCTGTTAATAATGTTATTACAATTATTAGTACACATTAATCTAAACAAGATTGATTAAACCATCACTATCAAATATAAAAAGAGAAAATACATTTAAATGTTCCTAATGAGATGGATGGGGTTTATATTTATTTGAATTAGTTGTTTTATCTGTGGGTAAATATTAAGTTTAAAATAAAACAGAATTGGGCTGAGGATGTAGCTCAGTGGCACAGCACCTGCCTGGCAGGCATGAGGCCCTGAGTTCAAATCCCAGGACCAAAAAAATAAAATAAAATAGAATTTACTGCAATGATATTTCTATTTTCATATTCATAAGTAGAGAATCTTTTCATATGAATAAGTCAATGAAAAAGGACTTCTATAGTAATAATGTCACAATTCTGTGAGCTCTTCCTAAGTTATGTACCTGAGTTATACACCATGGTCTATTTTAAAAATTACTTTAGTGATCTATCAGCTAAAAACCTAGAGTATCTTCAAACATTGCTAAATCTGAAATTTGAAACTGACTGACTTATACAGTCCTTCCTCAAGGAAGTTATTTTCTTCATATCGACAGCTACTGGAGACCCAGAGGTTTTAACCCTGGCTCTCCAGCAAGGCCTCGCTCCGTAAAGCGTCTTTGGGAACTTCTTTTCCTTCAGTATGAGCTCACTCAGCAGAGTTTAAAGAGCCCCACCAGGCATTCTGTAACCTAATAAAGTACTCTGGCGGTCTAACTCCCCATAACCATGTCTGTTTATTAGTTCATCATGAAAATTCAAGCGCTGGTGTCTTCAAATACCTACATCTAACAGTTTGGGTCTCCGAAACCATATCATGAACTTTGTGGAAATTAGACCCAAATATGACTCAAATTCTACCTTACCTCTTAGATACTCTGTATTGTGCTGTGGTCAACTTTCCAGTCTCAGGGTCATGTACTGTAGCTCGGCTCAGCTACAAAAAAAAAAGAGAAAGGACAAGGACTTACTCTAGTAGCAGGCAATTTGGGGCTTTTGTTGTTTTGTTTTGCCAAGCCACAGGTGATTGGAAGGATTCAGGCTGCTCTGGATGGCAGGTAATGGTTTCAAATCAGCAAGAATGTTTAGAGAGGTGGCAGTAAGAACAGCCACTGCCAAGTTGAGAAAAATGGGTTGACAGATTTTGGCTGTAGGTTTATTGTCCTTTCACTTTTTTTAAGAAAAGCATTTGAAGCTTTATGTAAATGATACATAGCACTGGGTTTCACAGGAGCTTTCCCAGATCTAGAAGTTAAATGTTCTTTAAAATTTGGGGGAAAAATTAGTCAGAAGTTCATTTTTTAAAAACAGATAAAACTTTTTTTCAATAAGCAAAGTAAAAGACAACTAAGTTCAACAAGGAAGTTTTGGAAGACTGAATTCAGAAGTACAATTCTTTCCATTGCCAACTTCTGAGTCAGCAAGCTTGAAAAAATAAAACTCCAACAGAAGGAGTACAGATTATTCCATAATGACAATGATAAGACATACCAACAAATGCCAGGATCACTGCAACCCTTACAAACGTGAGAATTGCAGAAGCACAGACTATTTTCAGATTAACCAGGCTGCTACTTTTTATTTCCCCCTTTGACAACAAAGGGGAAAAAGAAAACAAACGTCAGGCTCTTTCCTAGATATCCAATACTTGATCTTAAAAACAAAAAGCATATTAATTTGCTAAACATAACAGACCAGTTAAAGATTAAAAACAGAACTTCTAGTTAAAAGAAAAAGCCTGTGAAACACAAAGCAGTTTATCCATGCGTTATTCTGTTCATGGGTAAAGTGGTGATTTGAGCTGGAGACTGAAAATGACCTATTTCCCCTAAATGAATAAAAATTCCTGTAGGATGTACAAAACACTCATTAGAGGGCAAAATATGCAGCATACACATCTCTTACCTTTTGCTAATTCTGTAATGTACCGTCTCCAAGTCTCCTGTTATTGGGTTTGAAATGGTGGCTCGCCTCAGCTGTGAAGCCAACCATCAAAATAGTTGCATTACAAGACAAAACATGAATCACATTTATCCAACCAGTCAGAATTCTGGTGTTTTGTTTTAACAAAGGAAGGTGAATAGAGGAAATAACTCCATGTGTTTCCAGTCACCTTGGGTTGAGCCATGAAAGCCAGTTGGTTTTTAGGTATTGTGTTTTGTTTTGGTACTGGAGACTAAACTCGGGGTCTTTGCACTGAGCTACACTCCCTAGCCCTTTTTAAAATTTTTTTTGAGACAAGGTCTCACTAAGTTACTAAATTGTCCAAGCGGGGCTCAAATTTGTGATCCTCTTGCCTCAGCCTCCCAGAGGGTTGGAATTACACTGTGTACTACCATGGCTGGCTAAGGTTTTTACATTTTTTTAAAAAATGCCATTTTTGTATTACCATGAATAGAGGGTATATTTTAAATTTCTGAAATTTTAAAATTTCTTCCAGTAGTTAAGAGGATATGATAACAAAAAAAGAAATTTCTAAAATTTTAAGTGTAAATTGTAACAACAGGAATGTAATATAATTGATGATCTATTCCAAAACCTCTAAGATTAAATTAAAATTATTTTTAAGTTAGAACTGTGAACAAAGGTTAATACTACTGAAAATTATTTTGAGGTCAACCTTTTCTCTCTTTAAGATATCCACTCAATAATATATCTGGTAAAATAATCTTGGATTGAGCAGAAAGGCAAATAAAAATAATTCATCAATGTTTAAAAGAACAGAAAAGACATGACAGCCAAGATAATAATTTCAAACATTTTTAAAATTTCTGACGTTAACAAAAGTATGAAATTTAAGGCCACTTAACTTATTGATCACAAAATAATCTAAATTGAGGAACCTCCTCTCACGACTGAAGTCTTTAAATCCAGAGACTAATTCTGAATGAAAACAGTAAGGTTCTGGCTTATGAACATTCGAGCTGCACACTTTGACAAGTGCACTGTGTAAGTCTCACTCTGTCAGACTTTGGAAAAAACGTCAACTTATGAATGTTCTACTAAAATGCAACTTGTTCGCAAAACAATTTGGTAAACTAGGTTTACCAACCACAAATAAAGGATTCAAACAAGAATATCAGAATATGATATCAGTAGCATTCTGCTTGGGAGTTCCTTTGAACAACACCCACACGTATTAGACCAGTCTTTTGCATTTATCATCTTTCTTTAATAAACAAAGAATATCAATAGCAAAAAGCAGTAAGATTTACTATGCAGTACAAATATCTAGATAATTAAAATATTTATGTTACAACAAGGGTTGGCAAACCCAAATTCAGCTGTCTGTTTTCAGAAATAAAGTTGTACTGGAATGCAGCCACCCTCATTCATTTTCATATTTTCTTTGGATGCTTTTACATTACAATGACAGGCTGAGTAGCTGTGATAGAGACCATATGGTTTGCAAAGCCTAAAAAATTCTTACTATCTTGACCTTTACAGAAAGAAATTACCAACCCCTGAGTAATGACAGCAAAACTAAGCTTGGCATTGATTTAATAGTCTCTTTAGGAAAGTGACAGTGGTTTGTATTTTACTATCAATAAGGTGAACTATTTTCTTTTAATAAGAAGAACTATTAAAAGCAAGAAGATGAGGGGAAAGGCAAGATCAGAAAGGGTTGTCTTTCCCACATTCTCTCACAAAGAAGAATCTCTGTGCGGAACACGAGTTTACAGAATTGGGCTTAACCCACATTAGACTATTTTTCTTAGTAAGATAAATGACACAGCTTGAAGTCAGAAAACTGTGATGTCACCACTTAAATATTAGCATGATGCTTGTGCCCAATTATATTTTTCTATTAAAATATTAATGTACCTAAGAAGGAATAAAAATACTTCAACAATTCCTTCAGATAAAACTATAGAAGATGCAAAAAAGTTGAGCTAGGTATGTAGCTAAAGAATACTGCTTGCCTAGCATGCTAGAAGCCCTGCATTCAATCTCCAGCACCACACACAAAAAAAGAAAGAGTTGAGCTTAGCATGGTCTCTGAGATTAAGGTGACAAAATATATAGAAAAGTTATTCAGTAAGACAGTGAAACATTTTTGTGAAGTGTAAATAAAAATCTCATCTATGACTTTCATAATTCAGTGTTTAATGCCCAGTTTTAGGGCATGCGATTTGTGACAACAACAAACTAAAAAAAAACCGGCACACATAAAACAGCAGTAGTATCTCAAACTACCTGTAGAGTTACTGCCATATCAGTTGTCCTCTCTGTTATCTTACAGATGAAAAGCTGGCAGGCCAGGGATATAGTTCAATGGCATAAGTGCCTGCCTGGCAAGCGCAAGGTCCTGAGTTCAATTCCCAGTACAAAAAAAAAGGTATATTACAATTTAGGAACTTGGGGAAACCCTGTTTCAAAACTTAAAAGACAAAAAAAAAAAAAAACCAACAACAACAAAAATTGTCTTTGGGCCAGAGATATAGCTCAGTGGCGCAAGCACCTGCCTGGCAAGCGTGAGGTCATGAGTTTGATTCCTGGTACCAAAAAAAAAAAAAAAACAGATGAAAAGCTGATACAAAGGTACAGGAAGTTGAGGGGAAAAAAAGAACTTACCCTTGGTTTTGCTAGGTCTTTGACAATTTCAATTTCTGCATCAGAAATAATATCATGGAAGCGAATAATACGAGGTTTGTCCCACTCATCCTCCTGTTTGGCTGGAGCCAGAATAAATTTAGGATTTCGGTTTCCATCATGGTATCGGCAAAACAGTTTTTTTTGTCTTCGAGGAGTCTAAACATTAAGAAAATGATATATAAATTATATATATACAAAACACATATGCACATGTATAATATACACATACGTACATATATATGTGTGTGTGTGTATTTACATATATATATATTTATGTGTTTGTGGTATAGGGGACTAAACCAGTGGGCCTTTGTGTTTAGGATAGCTCCAGCCCTTTTTCTTTTAAATTCTGAGACAGGGTCTTGCTAAGTTGCCCAGGCTGGGGTCAAACTTCGGATCTTCCTACCTCAGCCTCCCAGAGTTTTGGGATTATAGGTGTGCACCATCACACTTGGCTACGGGCAATATTTTTAATATGTATTCCTATGCAAACACAAAACAATTATCATGTTTGCATACACATAGGGTATCTCTGGAAGAACAGACAAGAAGCAGTACCCTGCAAATATTTTGTATCAAATAGAGTTTTCAGGATTTAAAAACTTTTATTAACAATTTTTTTCTGGGAGAGAGACAGAAGAAAGGAGAAAAAAGGTAAAGTTTCTCTTTTAAGTCTTCACTCATCTGGAAATGGGAAACAGGAAACAATGAGGTGCTTATGGAAATATGAAATGAATGCCCAGCATTGTTCCAAACTTCAAAAAGTGAAAGTTTCTAAAAGGGGAGAAAACAAAACACCAAAACCCAGGTTTCCCTACTATACCCTACAGTTAAATGCTTATGGCAAAAAAGGAAATATTAACAGCAAAGGTGAGAGCGAAAAGTTATTAAAGAAGCCAAGTAGTTTTAATACGGGGTATATAAAAATACTGTAGAGCTGTCAACAAAGCAAATAAATGTTCCCTTCAATCATCTGTTATATACATAGGTTAGTTCACAGCTAATTCTTCTCTTTGCCATGTCCTCTCTCCACGGTCCTGGAAACAAACCCAGGGCCTTGTGCATGCTCGGTGAGAATTCTACCACTGAGCTCCACCACCAACCCTGGCACTCTTCTCTTGATTAAATAAGTATGTCATTTGTGAAACAAAAGGAAAATGCTCAAAAGTAAAGGGCAACTGGGGTGTGGGAAAAGAGAAGAGAAAGAAGGGGAAATTATGTAAGTATGTATATACAGAATAGCTAACATAGTTGTACTACTGTCTTCTATTGCTCTACAGAAAAGAACAGTTAATGATTACTTGTTTGATCCATCTTATATGTCTCTATTTATTTTCCTGAGAAACCACTTTCAAGATATCAGTAAGTAATACAACAACCATTGTTAATTTCCTACAACTTTGTCTGTAACTGTTTTGTTTGTATTGTTCTTATGCTATTTTGTAAATGGATGTCTGTTTGTTAACATTTTCCTTCTTTTATTTTTTTTAAATAAAAAAATAAATGTCATATACAATAAGTATGTCATTATACAGGACTATAATTAGCTTACTTACTAAGTAATACAATAAAACAAATTCATTCACATTTATTCTCCATGCATTTTACCTGGAATCAAACCCAAGACTCTATATCAAATAAGTATTTTATACAATGATGAAACGGATTGAACCATTTGAACAGAAGGATACTCCTTTGATTGTGGGCAGAACTGACATGTGTCACAACAAACTGATGCTGGATCCTGTTTTGTACTTATAGTTCTATTTTGTTTTCTTCTTTAAAAGTTATAAAGGCAATTTTTAACAATCTGTTTACTTCTGGAAATTTGAACAGTATTTAATAGCGTAGACTACTCAATTTTTTTTAGGTATGATAATGGCCTTGCAGTTATTTTGAGCCATTTATTTATTTATTTAGGTTTTTTTGAGTTCAGGTTGGCTTTGAACCCACTACACAGCCCAGATAGCCTCAAACTCAAGGCAATCCTCCTGCCTGAGCCTCCGGAGTGCTGACATCACAGGCATGTGCCACCATACCCAACTCAAATCCTTATCTTTTTTTAAATTTTTTTATTTTTTTATTTTTTTGTTTTTTTTCCAGTACCGGGAATCCAAACTCAACCTCACGCTTGCCAGGCAGGCACTGTGCTGCTGAGCTAAATCCCCAGCCCCTCAAATCCTTATCTTTAAAAGATATACACCTAGTTTAGCTTTAGAATGTCACCCCAAAGGCTTGTGGGTTACAGGCTTGGTTGCCAGTCTGTGGTGCTATTGAGAGGTTTGTGGAACCTTCAAGGAATGAGCCTCATAGAAGGCCATAGGGCCTGCCCTTGAAGGGGATACTGGGATATCTATCATGTTTTTCACAAGGTACACAGCTATGCTCCCCACACCTGCCATGATATTCTGCCTCACCACAGACCCAAAGCAATGGAGGGGAAACCACCACACACTAAGACCTCTAAAAGTGTGAGTCAAAATATATTTTTCCTTCTTTTAAGTTGTTTATGTCAGGTATTTTGTCACAGTAACGTAAAGCTGACTGGCACACACTAAGTATTTAGAAATGAAATGAAAGTTTAATGAGTCTACCGGTGTTATTATCCTTGAATTTACTCATAAACTCTCAAAACAAAAACAAGCATGTTCTGCTAAGAGACCATGAACCTAGCTATCAAAAGTGTCAACAAAGATATGTGTGTGTTTGCTGTTTGTGGTCAGGCTGTCAACAGTCATCACTATCAAACTATAAAGCTCAGCTTGAGTTTGCTGGCAGTGAAGAAAATTTTGTTTGGACACTAGTACCACATCATAGTCCTTTAAAAAAAGGTTTCATGGGCTAGAGATGCAGCTCAGCAGTTGAGCATTTGCCTTGCAAGCAAAAGGCCTTGGATTTGATCCTCTGTACCACAAAAACACAAATAAACACGGTTCCATGGTCAATTTTGGTTATGTATATATCCACAATAATGCACATTATCATAAAAAGACTCTGAAAAGTCTCAAAGCTAAACCAAAACCTGTAATCAACTTTAACAGACTTGGAACATTTTGAGTTTGGATTTAAGATCTACTGATATTCTAAAGAGGTGGCACTCTGAAACATAATTATATAAATATAAAATATATAATAGAGGGATATTTACAGATATATTTGGGTCTTTTAAAGAATAAATGTTAAAGTTAAAATCTGCTGACCATCTACATTCTGAGTATTCTTTAAACATTTCACTAAGGAATCCTTTTAAGACTAAATAGGAGCAAGACCACAAGAGATTACTGTATAGATGAGTCTTGTATCTCATAAAATCAATTACCAATTATTATTTCTACCTAGGACTAATAAATTCCCTTTGGAATTAAATATAAAAAGAATTATCAATTCTTTAAACTTACTTGATCCTTCACCCTAGAAAATAACCTCCTTTTGATCTGTGAACAGGATATTACCAAAAATGCATATAATGGTATATGATTCACACACTTTACATTAAAACTATTTTACTAACTGCAGCATATTGACTATGACACTGACACCAAGCTAATAAGGAATACAGTAATATTTAATGGAATCATAATTTTTATCACATAGGCTTAAATATAAAAGAAATCTGATTCTCTCTACAACTACGTACGAAACACATACATACACATTCATGCACATACGCACAATTGACTTTTCCACTTTACCATTTTGATACCCTCCCCACGGCACAGCATTTCGTACTTCTGTCTCTCTGGCAGGTAATCCACAGCAATCCCTTTTCTCCTTGGTGTGCTTTCCTGATCAGACTGGTCACCTGAAGCAGACTTATTGGCATCTTTTTCTTTAGCCATTATATACTCAAAATATTTTAAGTTACCATTAGCTCTCTGATGTTCAGGATCTATTTGAAGAGAAATAAAGTATATCCGTGGGTAAGTTAACAATTTTTCAAGCCTCTTGAGTATACAGGGGACCATATGCTTTGTCCTCCAAACCAGGATGCTTTATAAGAGTAAAACAGGCCACTAACACAAATTATTATATCAAAAATGGATGTAAACTAGGACTATCCCAAGTAAGCAAGAACATATGGTAGCCCTATGTAAAAACAGTTCTAGAGATGGAAAGAGCCTTTTATTTCAAAGTTGCACTATTGCTTCTACTTTGAGAACTTACTAGTCAACCAGAGAAACTATGTTCACTTTGATGTAAAATGAGTCTTAAAAATCTTACTTATCCTACTTCTTTTAGGCAATGGGAAGTATTTTTCTAAGACTGAAAATTAATCACCATTGTAAAAACAAAACATACATACTTCAAAAGCAACCTTTAGCATAAATACATTATAAATACAGAACATATTTGAGTGGATTTCAGCCCCAAATTTCTAAGAAAGACAGAAAGAAGAAACTAAAGATGTAATTTTCAAATAAGCCAGAATCCACTAACTCAAAATTACTAGTGATAATTTTTAGCTATGCCACCCATCTGAGAAAAAAAATCCAAACAACCACACACACAGATAACAATAAAAAAGGCAAAACAGTAGTAGAGACTTCACTCGTGATATTAATTGAAGTGTTTGGGAAATGTAACTCAGATGATAAAATATTTCTTGTCCTTCAGATACTGTTCACAATATATACTGTGATATACAATAAAAACTTAATTTTGTGAAAGGAAAAACTGTGCAGGGAAGAAGAATGTATACTATAATAAAATAAAAATTTGTATGTCTTTGGGTAATTGCCTTATGGATGGATGACTTCTGTATCTTTTTGTTTTAATAAATGTTCTACAATGAGTACAAACTATTTTTTAAATTGGAAAGAAAACTAAAAAAAAAAGAAAAAAAGAAAAAAAGAAAACTCACTGGAAAATACTAAAAGAAAAAAAGTTATTTGAATTAGTATCTTTTAATTTATCAATTCACCCAACTAAAAAGAAACTATTTATCAAAAGTTCACTTGCAGATGATCAATCCTTTTGAGTTGTTTCATTCTCCTGACATAATGAATATTCTGTTCATAAATTAATTTTTAAACTTTTAAGGCTTTATTATACAGCAAAGGCCAGCTGAACTTATTGTATAAATTCTTATCTCCATCTCCGAAGATTATGATTTAGAAGCAATCAAGGAAATTTTCATTTCTAACAAGTATTCAAGTAATTCTGATATATGTGGTGTCTGGACCATACTTAGAGAAATTCTACATCTCTGTTCGAAGCACAAGTGGTAAAAGTCTCACAAGATACATTTTTCAAACATTTGAATATAAAATATAATACACTAATAATACTCTTCAGAAGAAAGTGATTTAACAATTCAGACACATTTTTGACTGAGTGAATTAGCTAGGTTATATTTAATCTGGAAATTTCAGAACACAGAGTGGAGGAACATAGCCACTATGGCAGTACTAACCATGTGAGAAAAATCAGTTGCCATTTACCTTGAGAATAAGCAGTGAGAAAATAAAATGATAAGGCTCTTGATTTCTAACAAATAAAAAGTATTGAAGGTATATGGATGGATGGATGGATGGATGGACGGACAGATACACACACACATAATATATAACCCCAATATAATTATAACCGTAAAGTCAGATAACATACCTAGTTCAAGAAGCTTCTTTGTGAGCAGAAGGGCCTTATCCAGGTCTCCCTGCTGATATACGGCATAGCTCAGATAATCTAGCACAGAGACCTTGTCCACGGTGGCCACCTCACCCTCATCCAGCTGCCTCAGGGCTTGTCCCATCCATAATTCAGTGTGGTAATAGTCTGCTTCTGTGTAGGCCACTTTGCCCAACTCAAAGCAGTCCTCAGCCGTTAGGAAAGATTTGTGTTTTACTCCTATGAAAAGAAAATGGAAAGAACTTTCAGAATCTTCATACTACCACATACTTACTTAGGACTATACAGTTTTCAAAGTGCTATTTCACTTTTATTTGAACTTTACAACAATCAGCCTGCAAGGTAAGGTAGCATGACCAAGAATCACATAGTTGGTATTGGGTGATGTGGCACCCGAAGAACCCATGGTTTAGATTATCAGACACTGTACCAAAATGAAGTGTCAGTTACACTGAAAAGTGCTATTCTCTAACACAGCAGGAATCACCACAGCAGATACATCTGTCTTACTTCTAACCAACAATCTAGACAGATGAATGTAAAGAAAGAAAAGGAAACCTATCAACTGATTTCCTTTCTTTTTAAACTACAATAATGACATATAAAATTTAAGTACCAGAGCTCATTCACCCATTTAAAAGTCACTAGTAATATATTTAGTATATTTGTAGATGTACACAACAATCACTACAATCTAACTTTCAAATATTTTCATGACCTCAAAAGGAAATCTTGTCACCATCAGCAGTTACTACCTATTACATCCCCAACTCCAGCCTAGATAACCACTAATCTACTTTCAATCTCTAAAGATTTACAGCACTATTTACAGTACTTTCCCATATTCTATTTTTCTGAAATTTTACATTTATTTTATAGTACAGTACTATTTTCGACATTTTATATAAATGGAATCACACAGTATATGGTCCTTTGTGACTGATCAATGTATCTCAGTGTAACGTTTCCCAGGCTCATCTGTGTCGCAGTACACTTTTCATTGTTGAGCTATAGTTCACTCAGTGGATGTATCACAACTATCTGTTAGCTGATGGACATCTGCATTGTTTTCACTTTTTTGGCTTTTGTGAATAATGCTACCGTGAATGTCTGTATGCAAGTTTTTGTGTAGACATGATTTCATTTCTTAAAAACATATACATATATATACACACACACACACACACACACACTCATATATATACAGAGAGAGAGAGTGAGAGAGAAAGAGAGAGAGTAGTGAAACTGCTGTGTCCTATGGGAACTCTACACTTCACATTTTGAAGAAATGGGAAAATATACTGAGAGGGGAAGCAATGTCAACAGGTAACTTTGCTTTTGAAAAATTCAGCAGTATGAGACAAGAATACTAACTTCATACTCAAAAGTTGATACTACTATTTTTCAAGTATTTCTTTAAGAATTACCATTAGGGATTTGAGAGAACATTCTCATAGAAAAGATTTTTGCAGATGAACCAAATATAACAGCTAACAAATATAACAGCTATAATAAGCTAACAGCACAGAATTGTGTAGGCACTATGTCAAAACAATGGAATATTTTTCAGTAAGATAACTTCAACTATCATATAGAAAAGCCACAATAGTCTAGTCAGAAATATGTCAAAATGTTAAACTGTTACCTTGTTGGACATATTACTAGCTTCCTAAATCTTTAAGTCTTTTTAATTTTTCCAAAGGAACAATTAGTTTGATAAGAACAAAGAAAAATAGGGAATTACAGAAAGAAACATTTTAAAAAGTAACTCTGAATGATGTTCACAAAATCATAATTATATACCATTCCTTGCTTTTTTTTTTTTTTTTTGCTGCACTGGAATTAAGCCCAGGACCATATGTATGCTGGGTTGGAACTCTACCACTGAGCCCCAAGTCCATCTTTATAAGAATAAATCAGGGGCTGGGGATTTAGCTCAGCGGCACAGCGCCTGCCTGGCAAGCGCAATGTCGTGAGTTTGATTCCTGGTACCGGAAAAAAACAAAAACAAAACAAAACAAAAAAAAGAATAAATCAGTTCAGTTACTTGGAGATTTTAAAGGCCTGAGCATTTCATATTGTTTTCAGGTTGCACAATACTAAATAATAAAGAATTATTTCTGGATAAGATGTTATGAGAAAAAAGCATCTGATATATAACACCTAGCAAGCAAGATAAAATAAAACAATTATTCATTTATACTATAGCCAAGTTCATAAGAACTGTCTGGTGGCTCTGGAGGCCAGAATTAGAAACTTAGAGGTCTGATTTTTAACAACCAGAAGGAGACGGGATGAAAGCCTCCAGACCACTCCAAGAGACAACTGGTCTTGAGAACGCAATATAAAGCAAAACCTTGGAAAAATTACATCCTGAACGAAATAATGAGCTTTAAAACACTGTCAGCTGACAAAGAGAAACTACATAAAAATTTATGTTTCTCAGAGTCAGTTCCACAGGCATATCCTCAGGGAAGTTTTAATTTCAAGTTTACATTGTCTCAATGGTCTGGGAAACTAAAGCCAAGAAATTAACTAAAGTGATCCCGGGTTGGTAATATTATTATAGGACATCTAGCATAAACAACATTTATACTCCAGAAAATGTGCCCTTTCCCCAAACTTTGCAATTTTTCCTCAGATGACATCCACTGAAGCAGCACACACAATCCAAAACTACAAAGCATGCGACAAAATAAGCTACGACAAGCAACCTCAGCAGGAATTATCAAAAACAGTACCAGACCTTCCCTTAGATTTTCAGATACTGAAGTTAACAGATTAAGAATACAAAGTAATGGATTAAAATATTTAAAGAAATACAAAAACAAAAGATGTGAACAATAAAGATACCTGCTACAGTTTGGATGTTGATTGTTCCCCAGAGGTCCAATCTTAAAGGACTCGGTCCCCAGGGTGGCCTAACTGGGAGTCTGTGGACCCTCTAGGAGGAGGGGCCTAGTGGGAAGCCCGTAGGTCACTGTGAGTGTGCCCCTGAAGGGGACTGTGGGGCTCCGGCCCTTCCTCTTTGCTTCCTTGCTTATCAGGTAAGCAATCGGCTTTGCCTTGTGCTCCCTGCTATTGCCCTCTGGCACCCTCACCAGAAACCCAAAGCTGTGGATCCACCTAATCTTGGATTGGAACTTCTAAAACTATGAGCTATAATAAATCTTTTCTCTTTGATTGTTTCAGGTATTTCATTATAGTAATGTGAAGCTGACTAACAATGCACTATACAGCACTCAGCAGATTTGACTAAGGGGGCAGGGGTACTTCCAGCAATCCTAAGTACAGGTTGAGCATCTCCAATACAAAATCTGAAATGCTCCAACATCCAAAGCTTTGTAAGCACTGACACAAGATGAGTGGAAAATTCTGTATTTGACCTCAGGCAACAAGTCACAAAGTGCAACTGTACTAAAAATACTGTAAAAATTTATCTTTAGAGCTATATGTAAAGATATATATGAAACATAAATAAATGTCACATTTAGACTTCATTTTTTGTCTTTTTTGAGACAGGGCTTTGCCATGCAGTTCAGACTGGCTTCAAACTCACTTTGTATTCCAGGCTAGCCTCAAACTCACAATGATCCTCCTGCCTCAGCCTCCCCAGTGCTAGAATGTCTAGACTTTAGACTTGGAACCTATCCCCGTGAGATCTCATTATATACATGCAAATATTTCAAAATCTGAAAAAATCCAAAATCCAAAGCACTTTTGATCTTGATTTCTAGTCATTCATTTCAGATAAAGGATATTCAACCTGTATGTTCAGTGCTATTAAAAACTCACTGGGCAGATTTAAAAGTAGATCAAACATAATAAAAAGAGACTGAATCTAAAATAAACTGCCCAGAATGCAGCAGAGAAGAAGTAAACATAAAATGCTAGTTTTAAAAGGCAGGAAGAAGAAAATAAATATAAAATTTAAAATATGCACCAATCTAAATTAAACTGTAAAGACTGGCAAAAATCTTGTACTTGGGAGGCTGAGACAGTGAATTCAAGATCAGCCTGGACTACAGAACAAGACCCTGTCTCAAAACAACAAACAAAAAAAACACACAAAAATCTCAAAGTTGACATATTTTTTGGTAATGCTACGGGGGAAATTGGTACTCATATCCTGCTGGTAGAAATGAAAAATAATATCTTGGGGAGGGTACTAGGACAACATTAACAAAATTACCTACTCATTTTCTCTTTGAACCAGTGAGACCACGTCTAGAAAATTATCTGTAAAGGTCAGTTAGCAAAAATACAGAATAAATATGCACAAGGTTATTAGCAACATAATTTTTTTTTTAGCAGAAAAAGACTTCAAATAAACCAGATGCTCATTATTTAGGGACCTGTTTAAATAAACTATGGAGCCTCCACAATACATAGTAACATGCCGCTGTAAAAATAAGTATCATAGTAAAACACCAAAGTTAATAATATTCACACCATGGTACCTTCTGCATAAATGTTAAGAGAAAATATGAGTACATATAATATACATTGACTTCTTTTTTAAAAAGAAACTATGGAAAGAGAAAACACAGTAAAATGGTTGCATACAGGAATAAGGGCAGAGACTGAGAAGTACAAGAATGAAAGCGAGAATTCTGTAAATGCACTCAGTATAGACTGGATGGTGAAAGAATATGAAAATTTTATATAAAGACAAAAATCTAAAGAAAAAAGGCAACAATACCTAAAAATGGAGAAACAATACAGAGATAATTGAACCCAACTGTAGAATATGTTGAAGGCATAAGCATGCAGAGAAATGAATTATTTCAAGAGTCTTCAAGACAGTATTTTGACTAGTCATTCTGGTATGATATATACTAAGGACTAAAAAGTACTGCATGCAGTGATCAATGTTAAATATTAATAATGAAAGTACTATTCTTTTAAGTTATTTTAGTCATATTACAGATAATATAAAGAGGTTAATATCATTAACAACCAGGATTTTCTTTTTGTTTATTTGTTTTTTGGTTGTTTTTTTTTTCTGGTACCGGGAATTGAACTCATGACCCTGTGCTTGCCAGGCAAGCGCTGTGCCACTGAGCTAAATCCCCAGCCCAACAACCAGGATTTTCAACACAAAAGAGCTATCAGTATAAACTCTGCAACCTTCTTTTTCAATTGGAACTAATCTGAACTCACATAATTCCTACCTCTGTTCATTTAAAAGACCTGGAATAAATTACAAACTCAACTACAACCTGCCTGTAGCTAGACTCTGCTTTTTAAATGACATTCGGGCTGGGGATTTAGCTCAGCGGCAAAAGTGCCTGCCTGGCAAGCACAAGGTCGTGAGTTCGGTTCCTGGTACCGGAGAAAAACCAAAAAAAAAAAAAAAAAAATGACATTCCCTGTTAAAACAAATCAAGGCTCAGCCAGGTGCTATGGGGCATATGCCTGTAATTCCAACACTCTGTGAGGCTGAGGCAGGAAGATCACAAGTTCAAGAGCCTAGCCTGGGCAACTTAGCAAAACCCTGTCTCAAAAAAATAAAGAAGGGGCTGGGTTCAATTCCCAATATAACAACAACAATAATAAAAATCAAGGCTCATTATTAGATAAATGCCTGATTCCTACTCTGTTGTAGAAATTTGTTTTTAAAAAACCAAAACACAAAAACTGTGCAGCAAAAGGAGGAAATTTCCTTGCTATCAAAGAATACTTCAAAAAGTCATAAATGATAAATTAGTCTGAAGAGGCTCCCTTTGGCTAAAATGCAACCTTATGTGCATCAAAATAAATAATGAACATAATGTATTGAAATACTGTAGAAAAATACTGTGTATAAAAATCCAAGAGAGGAAGTCAATAAGCAGATAAAAAGATGAGAAAAGATTAATATTCTATAATGAAAAATAACTCTACATTTCTTAGAATATTTTATTTTCAGCCATTCAATATCGAAGTCTTACTAACTGATCTCTCTCAGAGGACCCAGTGATTTTCCTAAGGCTAAACACAGCCAAAACTTGGGTTAAATAATATTCAATATTGGAATGGGAAGATAAAGTTTTTTTAAAAGAGAATAATAAAAAAAGAACAATAGCAAAATACCAACAACACAGACAAAAACAAAGCAAAGCAAAAACAACAAAAATGATACAGGGTTTCAGAACAAAATGATAGGAATTAACAGTAGGTGTTATATTACATATTGTTATCTTCAACGAAGTTGCTCAGATTACCAGATGTAAGAATGCAAGATTGATCAAACCATTAAAGAGCATAAAAAATAAAACCAAAAAAAAAAAAAAAACCACATTAGAAATGATATATAGTTTCACTAGACAAGACGGTAGGAATTCACCAATGGTTGTTATACTGTTGTCTTCAGATCAGTTATTCAGATTACCAGATATAAGCATGCAAAATTGGTCAACAAGAAAAAAAATTAGGCATTAATTGTTCCTTTCAATAAACCATTAGACTTCAGCAGCACAGTTATCCCAGCTATCCTTCTATATACAAATATATATTTTCCCTTCCTTCTTCCTTTCTTTTTCTCCTTTCCCTCAGCCCAGTTGTTCCTTCCTTTGAGCAATTTCTTTCCCTTTCATAGTATCTATTATATATTTTGGGTTTTATTTACTCTTTCAGGTTCTTACACTAAGATAAAGTTTTGAATAAAATATAGAAAACTAAATGAAACTAATTATTCCCCCAAAAAAACTTGCCTCTTGTGTTCTCTATTTTGTTAGATGGACCCCACCTAGTTGTTCAAGCACAAGAACCTGTATCAAGTCCCTCATCAGACTTCAGCATGTGCTTCCCCACTGATAATCTGTATTTCTCTCCAAATGCACTAGATACTGCTATCACCTCTTACTTAAATTTCTGCAACATCCCCCACCCTTGGTTCTTTGTCCTATAACCCAACCCAATCTCCAAAAGAAAAAGATTATCAGATGGGTGTAGCTCCGTGGTATAGTTCTCTGGGTTCTAGCTCCAGCACCACCACCAAAAAAAAGCTATAATCTTATCAAAAGTGTTATAAGGAAAGCATTAGTACAAACACAAAATAACACTTGCAAATCTGTTCATTTTTGAAAATCCAAATTAATGCAATTATTCTAATTTAACAGTAATTTAACTTAATATTATGTTTAGTTTTCATCACTTGATACCTCCTGAAATGAAGGGAGATGAACCAGGAAAACAACCTGATAAACAATGCACACTACTCTTTTTCTTACTGAGAAAAACCCATTTCAGTACGAACAAAGAGGTAATATATTTTATTTTTCCAGTTAACAATGACAGGACATATTAATGGTAGTAAACCACAGACTCACAGAAAATATCTAAGATGTAAATTATCATGAAATCAGATGTAACTTTAAAAAAGAGAAGTTTTGCCAAAAATAGAAGCAGAATGTTCCATCCTATAGAACACTTTAAACATCTATGCATATCCTAGTAGATCTTGGCTTTTAATTACTGAACACACAAATGGTATAAATTTTATTGTAGATACACAGATAAGCAGTATCAGATATTCTTTTTAAAATCTGGAAAAATGGTTGTTTCTTTTACTCATGCACTAAAAATTGCTTATTTAAATTAGCTCCTATAAATATAAGCTCAAGCTAGAAGCATATCCACCACTATTAAATTCTATAGAAAGGGATGGTTCTTTTGTAACCAAAAGCTATGAAAAAAACTCTATAGCTTTAAGTTCTTAAAATAAGTCTTTCCATTGTTCTAGTGGACCGAACAGGCATTTCATAGACTGGAGAAATTATCTTACCTGGGAGATTACCCTTTGAGATGGTATCTGTGTCCAGATTGTAGGTGTCCTGGAGACGCAGCAAAGCTTTGGCTGCCCCAACCTGATCTTCATCATTAGGAAAGTACTGTCTCTGAATGGTCAGGTTAGAGATAAACCCTTGAAATGGAAAAAAACAGGATAAAAAGGGACTGTAAAACCTCACACGCTTCTACCCAATACAGAATCTTTATAAGGATTTTTCAAAATCTTATCATTTTCAGCTATACCACTGAAGTTCTACAAGTTAGTCAAGAAAAAATAAAATCTATTGACTTAGTGTAACATATATCTAACTTGTTCAATTTTCCCAAATGCTTTCTAATTTTAAATAATCTGAGGTCATTGCATAAATTATATTAGTCAGTAAAGATCAATTAACATAACTCACTTTTGCACAACACAGCAAGAAACAAACAGTGCATCCACTAAGCTTGAGATGAACATTATTGGATTTTAAAATGACATTCATTAGCCACCAATTATACTTTCAGATAACAGATGGTAAATAAAACTTGTGCTCTTAAAGTTCTCTTTTCTTCTTGCATATACCACATATTATATCAATATGTAAACATATACATTTTGATGAAATTCTTCAGAGAGAAAAAAGTGTTAATTATATATTTAATTTACTAAAATACATATAATTACTAAAATATACTAAAATAAAATACATACAAATATATTTAATTAGCAAATACAGTGTTCATTAGTTAAGATTTGCTTACATAAAACCTAATGTTAATTTAAGAGAGATTTATATAAAATATAGCAAAAGTCACACTAACAAATTACTGATAACTATATAATGTCTAGGAGAATGGATGCTACATAACTCCTTAACAAAAGCAAACAAAAAAGTGATTAAGGTTTTAGTAATGTCAATGTCACCACTGTAAATAAAAATTAGGCATGAGACCTCTCTCTTTTCCCATTAACTTTTGGTCAGCTATTTGTACTTTGACCAGCAAACAATCAAGCATTTTTATTTTAATGGAAATGTACAAAAGAAACAACTAGCTGGAAAAGGACTAAAGTTCACATGAAATATTTTTAAGTCTTAAGATCAATTCTCAGTAAAAATTTCCACATGAACTTTACAACCAAGGTTTATACAAGTTTGTAATATTTTTTATGCTTAAAAACAAAAATCCAAGTTACTTAAGTCCTCTCTAATAAAAACAGAAAAAATATGTAGTGAGGGATGACTACCACAGATTACAACACCAAAATCTCAAGGTTCACATTATAAAAGACCTGCACAGGTCTTTACTTCAGAATGAATGAATGAATGAGACTGGGGAGAGAGAAAGAAAAGGAGAGGGAGGGATGAAAGGAAAGGGAGAGAGGAAGGAAGGTTAGAGAGAGGCAGAAAGGGGGAGGGTAGAAAAGAGAGAGAGGGAAAGGATTGTATTTCCTTAAAAATGTTCTCTGGGTACAGTATTTATACAGTAGAGAAAATAATCATAGGCCATCTCCTATAGTGAGTAAGTATTCCTAAGTATTCACCATTACTTTTCAAGGTTCCTGTCTTATGCATAACATAGGAGTCCCTGCTTACCCAGAGAGGATACATTACAAGTGGTTGCCAAAATCATGGTTACTGCTGAAGCCCAGACAAACTGTTTTTCTTATATATACATATACAAATTTAATGCCTATCTTATGTAAACACTTAACAGGTATTATGACCATAATTTTTGTAATCTGAAATACAATAGCAAAACCAACATGCATTTTTTTTCCTTCACAATTTCACAGATAGAAGATTCATTCTTACCATAGGTCTTAGCAACCTCAGCATACAATTTTTTCAACTCTAGCACACAGGGTTTTTTTTCTTCTTTCCTTATTGAGAATTTTCATTTTTTTCACTTAAAGAAAATATTTTATGGCTTATCTTTGATACATCAAATTGCCATCATCATTGTACCATGGCCATCAGTCAGTAAAATAAGGGTTGCCTGAGGACAAAGTACTTTGAAAATGATCTGACAGATGAGAAGCTACTAAGTAACTGGAGACAGGTTGTGTGTACAGCACAAGTATGCTGGACAAAGGGATCATTCACATTCCAGTAGGAAAGCTCCAGGTTTTATCGCGCTATGCGGAAAGCCACATAATTTAAAACTTGTTTATTTCTGGAATTTTCTATTTACTATTTTTTTAACTGTGGGTAAATGGAACTGCAGAATGAAAAACTATGGATAGGGTAGTCAAGTATAGTACACTGTCTGAAAACAATGGTAAGCTATCCTAGAGTATTTTATTTACACAGCCAGCTCAGCTCTCTCCCTCTTTTTTTTTTTCCATTTTCATTGATGCAACAAGTATTTCAGCCTCTACTATACAGTAAGCTTAATCCCTGTACCTCCTTCAACTCCAGACTCTTTTGTTCTATTAATACTATCTAAAACACCCCAACACTCCACCTACAATCTTATTGTTTCACTTAGAAAGACAATTATTGGTATTTATAGTCTGTTTTTTTTAATTTAGTGCCTACATTGACTAAAACAATCCTAAAACCAAAATACTAGGTAGAATACAGCAAACACTTCTCTTTATAATACCACTCCCAGTATTTTAAAAACTGATTGAAAATAAAGACTTACCCATTTTTTTGTTTGTGCTACTGGGGACCAAACTCAGGGGCACTCTACCACTGAGCTACGTTCTCAGCTCTTTCTTTTTTTTTCTTCTTCTT